ACGTTGTAACTGTGGTAATAGTACTTTTTCGTTTTCACAGATCACCCTCGCCGCCCCTAGTTCCGCTGTCTCTGTTTTCTTCTCAGGCCGAAACAGGTGAAAGATAGACAGACAGACATTTTCGTTTTGTCCGTTGTTCATCAAGGATACGCCACTCTGGTTTGGTTTCAAATTCCTATTCGATTCCAGGGATCTAGGTTCTTTCTGATTCAATTCATGGGCGCAATTTGACTAATTGGGGAGTGAATTTGAGGTTTATTGCAGTGGCTGGAGGGGAAATTTAGAATTTTCTTTTAAGAGTCTAGACTAGATTATTGGTCCAGGGGCCTTGATGCCTGGTTCATTCAATCTTGCATATTCAAGAACTTGCATTGAATTTCATGGTTTCCTGTTTAAAAGTAACAGGGAAATATAAATTACGGACTGCATTTCCTCGAAAGGAATTCATGCCAATGAATATGTTGAAAGCAACAATAGTAAGGACAACGGTTCGAGTAAAAGCTTTAGAAAGTTATCTGCTTCCCAAAGTAGAAAAGCTTTATAAGTTATTCTTTTTGAACGATGTATCTTATTTTCTCTTTTCGTTTTTTATTTTACATTCATTTCGTAAAAGCTGCAGTCTAACACAATTTTGCAGGGTACTGAGATTGACAGTTTCCATGTCATATTAGAATCTAAAGTCATTCAATCTAATTATCTGAAGTTACATTCTAACACCATTGCTGCCTTCGGGGGAAAAAACCTTATGGAAGTGCTCGAAAAGAGCATGAGAGACAAATCCAGAATGCTCTACTCAAAGCTTGTTTGGACAAGACGACAACAAAGAATACCTACAATGATATTAGACAAACTGAAGGGCAACTTAATTTGCTAGTATGGGACTAGCAGCAGGTGACAACAGCAAGGGAATTTATACCGGAAGCTCTGGTGGAGTCTCATTACATGCATATATATCTAGAAGAGGGCATTTATGTCTAAGATCTGACAATTCTCACTATTTTTTTTTTTTTATACATAAAAGAGTTAGTTATTTGGTAATACAGTGAGTCTGACAATTCTCACTATTGAAAGAGGCTCAGGAACCATGAACAGTTCATGGGATTTGCCATTAAATTTTGCCCAGAAAAGGGCTTAACTGGATTGAGTTTGCTCTTTCTACAGCAATGTAAATCACACTCTGTCCTGACTTTCCCAAGGCTAAGTGCTTTTATATGGAAATATCATTATTTATTCATTTATTAAGTATTGTTTGAGAGGTTGCAGTGAAACAGATCGATGCTACAAAAAGCCATGACATCTCAATTTCTGAAAAGTATGGTTTCCTAATATAATGATTCGTCACGTCCTAACCACAACATGGATAAACATCCAAGGCAATATGGGCTGACAGGAACTATCCTAATTCCTTAAAATCTTGTTGCATGCAACCACCAAACTGATAGAAACCCTCATTTCTTCACAAAGATAATCATGTACCAAACTAGTAGATGTACCAAATATCTGTGTTGCTTCATTCAGAGTCCTAGTAGTTCCACCGTCCTCATCAAGCATCCAATGTTTACTTCCCTTTATCTCGAAGCTTCACAAGACAATCATGCATTAACTCTCCCTCGTCTCCGCTTCATATCCAAAATATAATCATATATCACCCAGTCCTCAAAGCACCCATATTGCCTCCTCTTACTCTTAATGAAACATTTTCCAGCAAAAATGAGGCCTAAAACCAATCAGGGCCTCAACTTCAAGATCCTCCTTTTGGGTGTCTTCCTTGCTTTTCTCCTTCTCTTTATTCTAAGATCAAGTCTTTCAACGTCTAAGGAAAACCCGACTCCTGTCTTGCAAAATTTGCCTGCGAGAAACTCCAATGATGTTATAGAAGAAGCAGAAGCAAAATCAACAAACTGCTCGCCATCATGCAATAAGATTCCACGTCCTCTAGCTCAAGCTCTCCTCCATTACACAACCTCAACCATTACACCACAGCAAACTCTCAAGGAAATCTCAGTGACAGCCAAAGTCCTAGAGAAAAAATCACCCTGCAACTTCCTTGTGTTTGGCCTTGGCCATGACAGCCTCATGTGGAGTACATTCAACTACGGTGGCAGGACAGTTTTCCTTGAGGAAGATGGGGCATGGATAGAGCAGATCAAACGTCGGTTCCCCACATTAGAATCCTACCATGTTAAGTATGATTCTAAGGTGAATCAAGCTGAAAACCTAATGGATGTAGGAAAAGGACCTGAATGCACAGCAGTAGGTGATCCCAAGTTCTCTATGTGTCAGCTTGCATTGAAAGGCTTACCTAATGATATCTATGAGACTAAATGGGATTTGATCATGGTGGATGCCCCTACCGGGTACTATGAGGAGGCTCCAGGAAGGATGACTGCCATCTACACTGCAGGGATGATGGCCAGGAACAGAGAAGAGGGAGAGACAGATGTGTTTGTGCATGATGTGAACAGAGTGGTGGAAGATAAATTCTCAAATGCGTTTCTTTGTGAAGGGTACATGAAGAAACAAGTAGGAAGGTTGAGGCATTTCACTATTCCTAGTCACAGGGATAACCTGGACAAGCCATTCTGCCCTGTGTAATCACTTCATTTCCCGTCTTTTTTGCTGGGATTTGATTTCCTTATAAAATTGTTTGTTCCAGTGAATGCTATTTCATATTAAACACCACAGTTTCAGAATTCTTTTTTTCACATTTGATTGAGTTGATACATGTAGAACTGCCGAAGTACAAGAATATCAGTAGAGATATTCTTTCGGCACAATCTGACGACAACAGGCGATAAATCTTTAAATTTTTTAAACAAAAATTACAATTATAATACTATATGATATTATAAATTTATAACATAATATATTATTATATAATTAACTTTTTATTTTTTTTTAAAATGCATCAACTTGTCTAATGCCATACTCTTTTAATATTATATCATAATTGTAAATTTATAATTTTTAATAGTATTGTAACTAAAATATTATTAATTTCTTAAAACTTTTGCACCACTCTAGCTTCAAACATAAAATAGAGGAAATAAAAGTAGGGTCAAGTTTTTTACAATTTGGATTTCACAAAAATATTTTTATTTTTTAATTAATTTTTTTTTAAAAATAAGATGTATACTTCTTGATGATTATTGTGGATCAATTAAACACATACTGGTGGGTGAATTAAAAATACTTTAAATATTTTACAAATAAATTTAATAACTTTGAAGATAAGAAGATGATGAGATTTAATAAACGTGGGGGACACGGGCCACTAGACCTCGTCCAATACGCTAAGTCGGAGGGTATATTCGTCATTTCGTATTATGGTTGCAATTAATTTAAATCACTCACAAATAAAATATTTTTCATTATTTTAAAAAAGAGAAGAATTGGAAATATTATCTTTGGTCCTAAACATTTTAAGGTCTCTTGTATTACTCATCACGGACATCTTAAAACCAAGCAAATGAGTCCTAATTATTCAAAACGTTTTTAAAAAAGAAATATAGTGATCATTTGATTTCTAGTACGAAAATCCTCTTTACACATTATAAAGTACAACTTTAATAGCCTGGACGCAACAAATGTTTTCTCATTATGGGACACCTTATGTGCACTTTATAGTTTGAAATTTTGAATCAAATAGCCAATTGGAAATTTGGAATTGATAAACAAAAGGTTTACCTCACAAAGTTCTAAAAAGTAAAGAACCCCATTGCCCAGTTTCAAAGGTTAAGGATTAATTTATTAAGTCATCTAAAAGTTGAGGGCTAGAAAAAAGTTTCCCGAGACTTAAAACGTACTCTAGAGATTATAAACAGAGCTGTCTTCCAGAGCAAAAGCACACCGCAGGAAAAGCTGAAAGCCTGAAACTTTCCCTTGCTTTCTTGCACTTTCTCTCGATCCAATCATGAGCAACGAATAGTAATTTCTCCTCTGTTTTCTCTTTGCGTTTCTTTATATTATATGTTCGTCTCCATTTTTGTAAATTTGAATGACTATTTTTCGTTTGTTTGTTTGTTTTTTTGTCTGTAGCGATTATCTGTTCAAGCTTTTGCTAATCGGAGATTCCTCCGTCGGGAAGTCCTGCTTGCTTCTCAGATTCGCCGTAAGTTCAATTTATTAGTTTTTTCTCCTTTACTTGAATGTATTTGCTATTTCTTAGGCTCTTTTTTTTTGGCTTCTCTTTTTGGTTTTGGTTTTTAGAGTGATTAATCTTGTTTTTAGGGCTTAGAGATGATTTCTTGCGTGTTTTACTTTGATTTTCCAGGATGATTCTTATGTAGACAGCTACATCAGTACCATTGGTGTTGATTTTGTGAGTCTCTGAGCTTCTATCTTTTAGATGATATATTCATGATTAAGGACTTGAAATTTGAACCTGGTGTTCCTTTTTGTAGAAAATTAGAACGGTGGAGCTGGATGGGAAGACAATCAAGCTGCAAATTGTGAGTAAAACTGTAAAAGATGTCTTTTTTTGGTTGCGTTTCTTCTTTCTAAATTTTGTTCATTTCTGCTTTTGATATGTATGGTTCATGAAATGTTTTTGGGTGCATAAGTCTGGCAAGTGGTTTGTTTAATGTTTGTTGAAGAAGTATCTATTGTGTTTTCCCGTAGCTGAAGTTTCTTTCTGATGGCCAATGGTACTAGAAAATAGACTAGGTTGATGAATTTGATATCTTTTTTCAGTTAACTATTATACATCAAATGGTGCAAGAATTTAAATGGGAACTTTATGCCTGTAGTTGGGTTTTCCTTTGGCAATTTGATTTTTTTATCTTATCACTTTTAAATATCACTTTCTAAAGAAAACGAAATTGGTGAAGAGATATGCCCACATGCTCTCACCTTGACGAACTTTGATCTTTTCTTGCCTTTTTTTTCTTCCAATTAATCAATTTATTAATGTGGTTTTTTTCTTTGTTTAGTGGGATACTGCTGGACAGGAGCGGTTCCGGACCATTACAAGCAGTTACTACCGAGGGGCACATGGAATAATAGTAAGATACATGAATCTTTTGATCTCTCAATGGCATTGTTCAAAATAGTTTGTCTTTGAAAAATATTATCACCATATAACTTGAAACTTTTTCAAATCTTGTATTGAGGAATGCAATATGAAGCAGCATAGGTTTCTGAGAGTGGTTTTTTTTCCCAAAAGGATGTTGTGTTGTATAGTCAGTTTATTTCAGGTTTTGATCAGGCAAGCACTTCCCTGTTGGTCTGTAACAGATTGTCTATGATGTTACTGAGATGGAGAGCTTCAACAACGTCAAGCAATGGTTGAATGAGATTGACAGATATGCCAATGACAGTGTGTGCAAGCTTCTGGTTGGGAACAAATGTGATTTGGTTGAGAACAAAGTTGTTGACACACAAACAGCTAAGGTGTTGTCTGTTACTTTTGTAGCTGTGCTTTTATCAGTAATTTAATTCTTGTGCCATTAGTGCACTAGGATGGATGAGCCAAGTTGTGGTGTAACCCAAATTCACTTAGATGGAGGATGCTACACTAGATATGAAGACGCTGTGAAATGAGAACCAAATTTATTGAGGGTCCTTTAACTGTGATAAAATATGCTTTAAATGGTGGCAACTTAATGCTGCAAACAGAAATATATTTATGAAGCTACACTAGATATGAAGATACTGTGAAATGAGAACCAACTTTATTGAAGGTTCTTTAACTGTGATAAATTATGCTTTAAATGGTAGCAACCTAATGTTGCAACAGAAATACATTCATGAAATTTTAGCATCCATGAAGGCGCAATGGTTGTGATTCAATTGTGGATGATAACAGATAATTTGCAGTTTGGACTGACTTATTTTGAACTCATTATAAATACATTAATTTGTTATTTGTCCTGTGTTTAAATGAATTATAGGCATTTGCGGATGAGCTTGGGATCCCATTCCTGGAGACAAGTGCTAAAGATTCAATTAATGTGGAGCAAGCTTTCCTAACAATGGCTGGCGAGATCAAGAAAAAGTAAAATCAGTCTGCTCTTTCCCTGGCTTTCTTTATTTTAGATGCTATGGTTTATTGCCTATTTGCAAATATCACAATTCTTTTACCAAAAACATACCTGAATTTTTTGTTTGGCTACATGCCATTATCTCACCTAACCCTGAGTTCGACATGTATCCTCTCTCACAACGTTAGTGGGATGGCAATCTACCAGGTTAAATATCATTTTAGTTCTTTCTCAATGCACCTTCCACTGTTCTGTTTTATGCCTCTTGGGAGGCCTTTTTCTCCATAATTAGGTTGATAATCAGATCTCACCTGATAATGCATCACACAGAAAGTGATAGATTGGCTGGAAGTTGTCACTATTGGGCTTGTCAAAACAGAATTTCGAGTCTTCCATTTGTGGAAAATCCAAAAATATTTTAACTATTATTTTTTTTTTCCCTTTTTTTGGGATTATAAAGTGATCCATATTGCTTCTTATCTTTATTACCTTTTTTTAATACAGAATGGGCAACCAGCCAACTGCTAACCAGTCATCTGGAACAGTTCAAATGAAGGGACAGCCAATCGAGCAGAAGAACAACTGCTGTGGTTAACCATTCATATTGTAATTTAGATATAGACAGTGAAACCATGTTGACTCCCTATGAATCTCCTAGTAACTGTGACATATTTCCTGGTTGAACCCACGCCCTGTTAAAGTGGAACTTCTTGTGTCTGTTCAAACCTATTTCATGTTTTTCTCTTGTAAGTAACTAATGCTCTAAATTTAGTGGGTATCCAATGTCTTTGAGATCCTTGTTGGCACATGCATGAATTTATTATTATTTGTAGATATTCACATATCAAGATCCCACCAAGGACAAAGAACTTGGAATTTACCCAAGGAAGACAACAAAGCAACATACAGCAGGGAGCTATCGACCATGTGATCCGGTGGTAATGTTATATATGTTCTTTAGTTATATGTCTAGGATTTAAACCTTTGTTACTAGATATTGAGAAAAAAAAAAAAAAAAA